GGAGATGCTGCCAGACCTGCTGAGCTTTTCCAGCAACTTTGTTTTTGTTCCTGATTTACAGCATCCGCAGTTCTTTTGGTTTTTAAATGAACAGATATTATGACATCTGTCTAAACTCTTCAGTCAAAGAGCTAGGTTTTTGAAGAGAATTGCCAAAGAGAGTTTTGGAGGGAATTCCAGCCTTGTTGAGCTGATCAGGGTTAGGGTAAATGATTCTGGAATCAGTCAGTCATAAGGCCAGTGTTACAAAAGACGGAGCTTCAGGGTAGTGAATGAGAAAGTGGCGAACAACTTCCGCACGCTTTTTGTAATGAAGGGGAGTTTTAAGACTGTCCCTAACGTGGGTGTTCAGCTGTTAGATTGGCCACTGCCGGGTGTTGGGGAGGTGCTATAACATATCAGCTTTCTCAATACGGAGTCTGAAACCTGTCGGGTCGGTTGCTTTGTAAGGGAAACTGGGGGGGCAGGATCAGGAAAGGGGAAGGACTTGATTCTTGTTTACAAGGAGTCCCAGGCTGAGCACGCACACAGACAAGAGTTGGTGCACGAGATAGAGAGAGCAGGGAAACTACACTGGGAATTTCTGCGTTCGTTTTTGGGGAAGTTTGTTTCCTTCATCTACAGCCCCAAGAGCTATAACTGCCTAGTGCCTACACTGTGTCAGAGAGAGAGACAGTGTGTGTGTGTGCGTATCGCTGGACGATGAGGGTAAGGAATTGAATTTATTTCTTTTTTGTTTTTCCTGTTTGAGAGATTCCATGGTGGTGTAGAGCTGTGTGTAAACACTGAACAAATCGCCCCGAGTCTCTGAGTTTCCTTATGTCAGACTGAACTCTCTGTGGACCCCTAATGTCCTATCAACCTGCTCAGAAATGCTGTTGGGGCTGATGCGACTTTAACCTGGTCCAGAGGTGGGGACACTACCACAAGAGCCCTTCCCTGATGGATAAGGAGCAGGGATCAGGAATGTGAAACAGGTGTATTAACCTGGTGCACAGTTTGAGGGGACTCTCATTCTAGTGTACACAGTGACAGTGGATTGTCCTAGCTCCTGCCTGAACCCTGGAGATAAACTGATTGGGGGGTGGGGGGGGGGGGGGGGGGGAGGGAAAAAAACAAGGACTGTTTAAAGCCCAGCTCCTCCCGACTATACGTTCACCCTGCATCTATCTGGGCGACCACCGCCAAGAGAAATGAGGCCAGTCTACGGCCCACAGTATAGGACTGAGGGAGTGTTGCACGGTCTTCCAGAAGCAATCTCAAGCCAAAGCATCTGGGATATACCCCCAGGAAGGGCTTTTGTGGAGCACAGACAGTGTGTCCTTCCCCGGGCTCCCAAGACCCACCTGCCCCAGAGGAATGTCACCAACATATCCAAAAAAAAACTTACTGCATTGCCCAAAGTTTCCATTCGGCACTTATCCGTACACACAACCCTTACCACTCCCCTTCCCCCCCACTAAAAAAAGGAAAGTAATTCGCTTTAGTGTTTGTGGGATCTTCCTGTGCTATTCCCCAGTGACTGCGCTACGCACGGTGCAAATCGGAGTGGGCCCTGGGAGCTGCTCCGTGGTTGAGTTTCGGCTTTTCTTCGCTCGCATAGCGCGCTGTGAGTTGCTGCTAGTTTTCCTCAACCACCATGTAACTGACCACTTGCTCAGTACTGTTAACCGGACTTTGCTGCTGTCTGTGTAGAGGGATTAGCTCGTCCGCGGTTTGGTGACTGCTGCGAGACTCAGTTATCTGTTTTAGCTGATTCGGCTGTAGTGAAAAAAAACCACTGTGCTATCACCTAAGTAAAGAAATGTCACTTATATAGTTCTTCTCGTGATCTCCGGATGTCCCAAGTACTTTACAGCCAATGCTTTTCAGCCACTTTTGCAATGTTGTTATGTATGAAGTGCGCAGCCAATTTACATGTAGCAAGGACCCACACAAAACGGCAACACGACCCTTTGTATCGTTGCTGCTTGCCGGATAAATATTGGCTTAGGACAGCAGTGACAGCTCTTAGTGCCCTGGGATCTTTCTGATTATGTCTGAGGTGGGAGCACTCTCTGATTATTGCTGTGGAGTGCCAATCTGGAAATTCCCACTCTGGTACCTAGAGTGGGACTTGAACCTTCAACTGTCCCACTCAGAGGCAGAAGAGCCTGCCTATTGACCCAAAGCCTTTCATACCCTTACTGTATGTCCTCCTATCCCTCTGGCTGCTTGCACCTAATGGTGAGCTCGGTTGGCTGGTTTATGAAGCAGAGTGATGACAACAGGGCAGGGGAGACCACGACTAGAGGGCATAGGTTTAAGGTGAGAGGGAAAAGATTTAAAACCGACCCAAGAGGCACCTTTTTCATGCAGAGCCAGAGGATGTGGTGGAGACTGGTACAATTATAACATTTAAAAGTCATCTGGTTGGGTACATGAATGGGAAGGGGAAGATGGGCCAAATGCTCCCAAACGGGACTGCATTGATTTAGGATATCTGGTCGGCATGGAAGAGTTGGACCGAAGGGTCTGTTTCCGTGATGTACATCTCTAAAATTCTATAACAGCACAGGTCCAATTCCTGCGCTGGCTGAAGTTATCATGAAGGTCCTGCTGAGTCCCACCAGTCATCTCTCTCTCTCTCTAACGAGAGAGCAGGACTGTTGTGACATTTTACAAGTACTTTGCCAGATGTTGACATAATTAAGGAGTTCCAGCGCACAGATGCTATCTGCATGGCACGCTACACCAGTCGGGAACAGGCTGTGTACATTGTGTGCACACGTATGTCAGTTTTTGACAGAAGCCTTCTGACTTGTCAAGACGAAGAGGTGAGAAAGTTGGTGTATTTTTAACTTGCTGCTTTCGCAAGGCTGTTGATGAGCTGTGAGCAACACATGGGATTGTAAATGTGCTGGAGTTTCTTCTGGTGCTTGACACTGGATACTTGATAAAGTGTTGTTTATTTTGTTTGCAAGTTGCCCTTGTCCTTCACTCACATCATCGTTCCTATGCAGTATGTCACATGCTGCATGTTCTCTGAGTCCCATCTTTAACTGGATGAGTGGCCTCTATTTTTCCCATCCTTGACTTTATGTCTAGTTTGATAGAGTATTTTTTTTAGAAAGAATTGCACAACTCCTTGTACTGTGGGTGTTCTTGCTGTCCTTAGTTGGCCCTTGAAGAGGTGGCATGCATTGTTCTTGAATTGCTGTAGTTTGTCTGATGAAGGCTATTCCTACAGCTCTATTTGGGAAGGAGTTCTAGGATTTTGACCTAGCGACAATACACAACAGATTTCAAAGTCAGGGTGGTTTGTAACTTGAAGAGAAACTTGCAAATGATCGTGCTCCCATTACCATGCCTGTACAATAACATTATATGGTGTTGTTTCCTAGAATCCTCCTTTTATAATGGATTCACTCAGATCTTTCTGCATTCTACCCATGGCCCTCACAGTCTAACCCCAAGCCCAGGAGATCCAATTGTTACACTAATCAGAACATTTTAGTGTTTAGTAGCCAATTTGCTCTGCACAAACCTGCATCAGTGTGTTAAGAAGGTGCAAGATTGTGAAAGGTGGTTCATCCTCTGGTATTAATCTTCCCACCTGCATTTTTGCATTGTGAAGCCTTGCAATGGGATGCTACTTCATTGCATAGCTGGTAACACCAATCTCTCATAGAACTTTGGAATTGCAGGAGGACACGTAGCCAGTCATGCATGCACTGGCTCTCTCTGTGTAAGAGCCATGCAATTAGTCCCATTCCCCTGCTCCCTGCCCACAACCCCCTGCAACCAGTTTTCCCTTACCCAGTTCCAAGACCAAGTAGGTGTCTAATGTTTATATTTTGGGGAAGGTGCTAGGACCATGACTGGCTGAGGAAGCCTCTCCATGAGCGCCCAAGTTCTTTCAACCACAAGAGGGAGTCCCTCCATGCAGGCATTAACATAACCTTTGTGTTGGAGTGGCTTCACAGTTCAGGAATTCACCCTCTTTAAGTACAGGAGATTTGATAGAGGTGTTTAAGATCAGGGCATGCTTCAATGGGATAGGTCAGGAGAAACCATTACTGTCAGAGACAAATCAATAAGCCAGAGGACAGAGATTTGACAGGACTGACAGAAGGCTCATGAGGAGATAACAGTTTGGAGCTGGAGGAATACAGCAGGCCAGGCAGTATCTGAAGAAGGGTCCCGATCCGAAACGTCAGCTTTCCTGCTCCTCTGATGCTGCCTGGCCTGCTGTGTTCCTCCAGCTCCACACTGTGTTATCTCTGACTCCAGCATCGGCAGTTCTTACTATCTCTGAGGTTCGTGAGGAGAACATTTTTGATGCAGTAGGTGATTAGGATAAGAGATGCACTGTCCAATAGGGAACTGGATACAGATTTCCTTTGAAAAGGAATGGGATATATACTTAAAGGAAAAGGTTTCAAGGACTGGTGGGAAGGATGAGGAATGGGCCTAACTGAATTGCCCTGTGACAGAGGAATGGGTTTATGTTTCCCTAAACTGCACCTTCTCCAATCTTTGCAACCTATCACCCTGCATTACAGTTGATTTTACAGGCAGGTATCTGAACACCTCAGATGCCAACCTTTTGATCTGTGCAATCAGCCCCACCTAACCGTTTGGACACTGAGAGGACTTCAGGCCATGTCCTCACATCTCCTTGAACTCATGCTGAACCCATACGATGGGCCGAACAGCTTTTTTCTGTGCTGTATTATTTTATGCTTTGTTTTGAAATCAGGAGATGGCCTGTGTCTTTAAAACTTTCCAGTCCTTTGCTATGTGTGTGTGCCTTTTTTCCTTTCTCTCAGCATTGGACCTGGGAGCAGGAAGTGCAGCTGATGAGTTCAGGGTTCCTGCTTGTGTAGCTGGAGATTGCTTTCATTAACCTGCCTCACATCTTGGTCTCGAGCACTGGCTTGTTTTTGGTAGTGGGCAAGTTTCCTGTTGTGCAGGGCAGGAGCGCACAATGCAGAGGTTAATCCTGGTTGATGAACAGGGTCAGGGAATGACATAGTAAGCACTTGTGGGCATTGTGTTATCCAAACAGGGCCCATTCTCCAGAGCCAGCTTCTAATGGCTGTTTATGCATTGTGTATTTTTCAGTTTTGAGAGTTAAGAACTTGCATTTACATAGTGCCTGTTACAGACTCAAGACATTCAGATGTACTTTACGGTCAGCAAAGTACTTTTTCCAGGTCTAATTCAGATATAATACAGGAAAATGATGTCTGCACTGAGCAAGATCCTACAAACAGAAATGTGATAAATGGTCAGATTTTTAACAAGTGCTAGAAAACTGAAATTGAAACTAACAATTCAAGAAGTATTCAGGTGGTGTGCCAGATTCTGGCTAACATTCCATGTGTGCACCAAGGATTATTGAGACCTGGATTATTGACTCCTGAAACCTGAACCTGCCTATTCTCTGAATAGATACTGATGGTGACAGTGCGAATCTCTGGGATGTTCTGTTTCTGCCTTGCTTTCAGTATGGTTTGAGCTCCCATCTATAATCCCCTTTTCTCTCAACATTGACTTCTCCAATCTTTGCAATCCATCATCCTTGATTACATTTGAGGACTTCTCAGGCAGGTACCTGTAGAGTTCAGATACTACCTGTGCTCTGTGCTGTTAACCCCACCTCACCCTTTTAGACACAGAAAGGACTTTAGACTGAGTCTGCACATCTCTCCAAATGCCCTGAATTGCTTTTGTATCTGGTCCTCATATAATCCATGCATTTATAAAATAAAACAATTAAAATCTGTTCTTGAATGGTTCCAGTGTGCCATAAGTGAGATAAGGTGGATAAAAAGCTGGAATCACCTGACCTCGCTATAATAGTTTGTATGAACAGCAGTGATAGAGGCAATTGTATTCATCCCAGGGGAGCATATGAAAGGTATGATGGATAATCTGTTCATGGGTCTTGCTGCATGCAATCTAGTTGCTTCATTCCCTACACTGCAACAACGACTACCCTTCAAGAAAAATAACTCATTGGCTGTGAGGCAGGTTGAGAGATGCCGAGGACATAAAAGGCATCATTTAAATGCAATTTTTTTCCCCTTTACTTCATGGAAGGAAAAGGAAGCTACTTGTTGCATTACAGCGTGAGAATGCTCCCAACATGAATAACTTTTTCTGCTCTCTTTCTTTCTAGGAAACTATGCCCCAGACATCAATTTTTCCCAGCATGCTTGGCACCAGTTGTAGTGGTCATGTCCAGCCAGATTTGGAGGAGAAGTGTGTGGATCCAGTGTACCAGGATGGCAGTTTAGTTTCAGGGTCCCTTGAGGTGCTCATTGAACACTTGGTGCCCACTGTTGACTATTACCCCGATGTGAGTATTCTGCAATGCTTTATTCCCTTTCCCCTTCATCCTTGAGATGCTGTTCCTCTTTGGGTGGTTTCCCTCCATGTTATAGTTACAGGAATCAGCCATTGAGCCTCTTGGGTCTTTTACTGGTGGCCATTGAGATTATGCAACCTGACCTTAAGGGATAATAGGAAGGCAATGGCCTAGTGGTACTGTCGCTATACTGTTAATCTGAGACCTAGGTAATGCCCTGGAGACTCAGGCTTGAATCCTGCCACAGCAGATGGTGGAATTTGAGTTCAACGAAAACCTGGAATTAAGAGTCTAATGATAACCATAAACCCATTGCTGATTGTCAGGAAAAACCCATCTGGTTGGAAAAGGAAATTGCCAACCTTACCTGGTTTGGCTTACTTGTGACTCCAGCCCCACAGTGATGTGTTTGACTCTTAAACTGCCATCTGGGCAATTAGGGATGGACAATAAATGCTGGCCTAGCCAGCGATGCCTTCATCCCATGAATGAATTAAAAAATCATTGACCGACAATCCATCAATTTCAGTTCTGAAATAAACAATTGATTTTAGATTTCATTGCTATGTACAGCAGAGGGTTCCTAACTTCCACTGCCCTTTGCAAGATGATATATATCCCATTTTGAGCCTTAGTGAATCTGGTTCTAATTTTTAGACTCTGCTCCCTAGTCTTAGACTGTCCAACCAGTTGAAATGGTTTTGCCACATCTACCCTTTCTGTTCCCTTTTATTATCTTGAACACATTGATCAAATCACCCATAGCTTTCTAAATTTGAGGGACTTCAACCCTGGTTTGTTAACCTGCCTTTGTAACTTAGCCCTTGAAGTGCATGGGTGCAAAGACACAGGGACTGATAGAGGGAGACTTCTCGGTTAGGAATTGATCTCCCTGCTGTTTAGCCTGTGGATTTAGGATGGGATGAAGAAACTGAAGGCATTGTTGCTAAGTTTGCAGACAACACAAAGAGGGACGGGTAGTGTTGAGGAAGCGGGAGGCTCCAGAAGCACTTGGACAGGCTCGTAGAGTAGGCAAAGAATGGCAGATGGAATACCATGTGGTAAAGTATAAAGCTATGCACTTTTGGTGGGAAGAATAGAGGCATAGACTATTTTCTAAATGGAGAAAGGCTTCGGAAATCTGAATTACAAAGGGACTTGGGAGTCCTAATTCAGGATTCTCTTAAGGTTTACATTCAGGTTCAGTTGGCAGTTAGGAAGGTAAATACAATGTTAGCATTAATTTTGAGAGAGCTAGAATACAAGAGCAGGGATGTACTGCTGAGGCTGTATAAGGCTCTGGTCAGACTGTATTTGGAATATTGTGAGCAGTTCTGGGACCTGTACTTATGGAAAGATTTGCTAGATTTGGAGGGGGTCCAGAGAAGGTTTACAAGAATGCTCCCACGGATGAAGGGCTTTGTCATCTGAGGAGTGGTTGAGGACTCTGGGTCTGTACTCGATGGAGTTCAGAAGGATGAGGGAAGTTTCATTGAAACTTACAGAATACTGAGAGGCCTGGATAGAGTGGACGTGGAGAAGATGTTTCCGCTGGTGGGAGAGACTAGGACTCGAGGACTCAGCCTCTGAGTGAAGGGACGACCCTTTAGAACTGAGATGAGGAGGAATTTCTTCAGCCAGAGGGTGGCTAATCTTTGGAACTGATTGCTGCAGGAGGCTGTGGAGGTCAAACCGTTGATTGTATATAAACAAGACATAGAAAGGTTGTTACAGAGATAGTAGGAACTGCCGATGCTGGAGAATCTGAGATAACAAGGTGTAGAGCTGGATGAACACAGCAGGCCAAGCAGCATCAGAGGAGCAGGAAAGCTGAAGTTTCGGGCCTAGACCCTTCCACGTTCTGTGGGGGAGAGGTTGGAGTGGGTGAGAGGGGTGGAGAGGTTGAGGCGATCGATGTCGCGACAGCAGTTGGAGATGAAGAGGTCGAGGGAGGGTAGGAGGCCGGTGGAGATAAAGAGGTCGAGGGAGAGTAAGGTTCTTGATTAGTAAGGGAATTAAGAATTACAGTGAGATGGCAGGACAATGGGATTGAGAAACACATCAGCCGTGATCAAATGGTGGTGCAGACTCAATGGGCTTAATGGCTTAATTCTACTCCTCTACCTTATGGTCGTATGGATTTCAACTTCCTGCCTTGTAGTTTCAGGGCCCTTTGTTCAGTTCTGACAAATGAAAATGTACCTGTTTCTTTTTCTTACCCCTAGCGGACGTATATCTTCACCTTTCTTCTGAGTTCACGTGTCTTCATCCACCCACAAGAGCTCTTGGCAAAAGTTGGGCAGATCTGCACAAAGCAGCTGGAGACGGGGACCGAAGCGGATGAGGTACAGAGCAAGATGTAGCATCCGTTTGCTTTGTTAATCATGTCTAGCACTAGAGGTGGAAATTCAACCATGCTGCATACTGCGTGGAATGCATGTATCCATTTTCTCTACCAGGGCGCCAGGCAGAATGGCTGGGAAGTGGGCAGTTCAAGGTTGTGGGTGCCAAGATGCATTTCTGAAAGTAACTGGTGGCCATCCTGAGTTGCAGTGCTCTCAGACATTTCATTTGGAGACTAGTGTTGTATTATTGCTCAGATGTCAGAAAGGCACTAAACCTTTAAGACATGTAGTTAACATAATGATGTGTGATACTCTAGTATAAAATCTAATTCTTTGCTCATTCAGTCAGCAGTAGGTTGGTCAGATTGCTTGTTGGCCTATTAATCAGCCACTTAACTAGTCATGTAACACAGTAGCAATCTAAATAAGCATATAACAAGACTAGATATGGAAGTCTACCATATTGTGTTAGTTTATATAGTAGATAATAAACTTCCAGATATCTGACTCAACATGAATGATGATGGCAGTGGGATATGTTAGCCCATGTAACATATAGACATTGACAATTGCAGAAGCACAACATTGACTGCAAATCCTGTACTCCTCCCAGGTCACCAAGAGATACCATAGCCCCCCTACTCCTCAACTAAGGGAAAATCCAACTTTCCTCTGAACAATGCCATGGAACACCTAGCCAGGTCCCAGCTTAAGCATTTGTAGGACTACATGTTTGTTTATTTTCTTTTGCTTGAATTCCTATTTCTCTTACTGAAGAATTAAACTACAGCAGATGAAGGGAGAAAGACTCTTAACAACAGAGCAGTGCCTGGAGCATGTGCTCACTGACAAGGGGGCTGGCTGTGAAATTATAAAATGTGTTTTTGACACAAACTCAAAAGTGTATATGCCTGCAGCCAATCATGTGAAATCTGGCAGCTCTGACTAACTCGTTTGTTCAACAGGAATGGTCTGTGAGACAGAAATGTGATTTTACACAATGTTGCTGCAAAATATGGCAATATCTGCTGGGTAGCAGAAGGGAAGTTTAACAGTTCTCAGCTCGGATCTGTGCCTGCCTGTGGCAAATAGCTGTGATTCATCTGTCTTTTTTGTCTGCAGTACCTGGGAAGCATATAATGGAGGAACTTTCATTTTCTGTGGTGTCCTTCACCATCTCAGGACCTCCTAATGTGTTTTACAGCCAGCATGGACATTTTTGAAGTGTGTACTTGCTGTGGTAATGCAGGAAACATAGCTGTCAACTGCGCAGAGAGCAAGCTTCCACAAACAACCATGTAATAATGACCAGATAATCTGATTTATGGATATTGATAACTCTCCTGCTCTGCTTCAAAGCAATACCATCAAACAGCACCAGAGAAGGCCCTTGATTTAATGTTTCACCTGAACAATGGCACCTCAGACAGTGCTTATTTTTAATTCATTCATGGGATGAAGGTGTTGCGTAGTGAGACCAGCATTTATTGGTCATCCTTAATTGCCCAGAGGGCAGTTAAGAGTCAATCACATTGCTGTGGGTCTGAAGGCATATGTAGGCCAGACCAGGTAAGGATGGCAGTTTCCTTCCCTAAAGGCCATTAGTGAACCAGATGGGTTTTTCTGACAATCAGCAATGGATTCATGGTCATCATTAAATTCTTAAACTTCAGGTTGTTAGTTTTCAAAAACTGAATTTAAATTCCGCCATTTGCTATGGCAGGAATCAAACCCAGGTCCCCAGAACATTACCTGGGTCTTTGGATTAACAGTCCAGCGATAGTAGTGCTAGGCTGTCACCTCCCCCATTGGAGGTGTGGCACCTCCTCAGTGCTGCACTGGAGCGTAAGCCAAGAATTTTGTGCTCAAGTCTCTGAACCCATAACCTTTTGGATTCAGAGGTACAGATGCTAGCCACTGAGTTGTCACTGTTGGAAGTACCACCCTCCATTTTTGCATGGAGCCCCATGTTCCAGAAGCCTCTCCATTCCCTGGCAAGAGTTGAAGTCACTGGTGCAAATGCACAGCAAGGCTCTTAGTGTCCCGTCTGTTGGCAAAGAGAGATCAGCGTTTCCAATGAGGATCCTTGGTCAAAGCCACATTCAGGCGAGTGACTGTGTCCATGTGAGAGCCAGCTTTTCACAAATGGTCACACATCTATTGGGTCCAGCATTTTAAGGGTTTAATTTTCCAAATTCCATCATTTTCTTCTTGTCTGTTTGCACACAGCTTGGGGTTGTAAATAAGATGAGAATTTTCCGAGAGCAGTGCATTGCTGCTCCCATTCTCCAGCTGGCTCTTTCCTGTAGGTCATGGGTCAGTGCACTCGCTGAGGGTCCTCTGTCACGTTTGATGGAAATTGTTTGTCTGTTAGCTTGGCAATGACAACTATCCATCGCACTGAAAAAAACACAGAAGCAGCAACTTGCATTGAGATAACACCTAGTTAAAAATGTTCCAGGGTGCTCCATGAAGATCAGGCAAACTTTGACACCGAGCTATTGTGATGGATGAGGTGGAGTCTAAGGAGCCTCTTAAAAATGGAAGAGAGAGGCCTGGGGAGGAAATTTCAGAACTTGGGATCAAGTCCATTGAGCATGTGGCCATTGATGTTATACATAACTAGAGCCATACAGAATAATGGCAACTCTGAAACAACTCAGTGTGGAGTTTGCACATTCTACCTGTGTCGGCATGGGCTTCCTCTGGGTGCCCCAGTTTCCTCCCACAGCCTAAAGATGCGCAGAGTGGGATTAGCCATGGGAAATGCGGGGTTATGGGAATAGGATAGTGGAGGTTGGTCTGGATGGGATGCTGTTTGGATGGTAGTTGTGACTCGATGGGCCGAATGGCCTGCTTCCACCCCATAGGGATTCTGTGATTAATGATTATAAACACAGAATGCTGGAAAAACTCAGCAGGTCTGGCAGTGTCTGTGAAGAGAGAGACAGACTTGAAACGTTAACTCTGTCTCTGTTACAGGAAGGATATTAAACTGGTGAGAATTCAGAAAAGATTTACCAGGATGTTGCTGGGAATGGAGGATTTGAGATGTAAAAATAGATTGGAAAAGCTGGGACTTTTTCCCCAGGAGCGTAGGCGGTTGAGGGGTGACCTTATTGAGGTTTATAAAATCATGAAGGGCATAGACAAGGTGAATGGCAGGTGTCTTTTCCCTAGGGTGTGGGACGTCAAGACCCGGGGGTGGGGGCACATTTTTCAAGGTGAGAGCAGAAAGATTTAAAAAGAACATGAGGAGCAACTTTTTATTACACAAAGCGTGGTTCGTATGTGGAATGAACTGCCAGAGGAAGTGGTGGATGTGGGTACAGTTACAACGTTTCAAAGACATTTGAAAAAAACATATGAATAGGAAAGGTTTGGAGGGATATAGGCCAAGTGCAGGGAGGTGGGACTGGTTTAGTTTGGGAACAAGGTTGGCATGGATTGGTTGGTCTGAGGGATCTGTTTCCATGTTGTATGACTCCAGTATTCTCTGTGTTTGTTTCAGATTTCCTGCAATATTTTGCCTTTTATTCAATGCCAGCTCTAGTTTACCTTTGCTTTCAGTATTTACTTCTCTGTCTTTACTTTTTGTTTAATTGCCTTCCCTTCTTTCTTCTTTTGCCTTCTTCCTTTGCTCCATTCTTTGCCTTCACTCTGTACGTCACTCGGAGTTCCCCTTGTCCTGGATACTCCCTCTCACCTGGTGGTTTTAGCTTCACTCACTCACACCCCAGTGGCTGGTGTGCAATTGCAAATGAGAGCATGGTTTTAGAAACATCAATAGGTTAGTACTCGTTAGAATGACAGGCATACTGTCGATTAGCACAAGTTACTAGTCCAGTCCCTGGCTCACCAGTATTAGAAGCCCTTTGATTTCATAATGCAAACATAGCTGGGTTCTGATGTCTCACTTACCTTTTTGTACCAGCCAGCCAACCAACCACTGAGCTGAGCAGCCAGATCAAATATTTGTCCTCTATCCTAACCCTCTCGTACGAATAAAAATCAAATTTTGTTTTTTTTTAACTATTGCTGATTTTTTTTTCCCAGTGAAAGAATTAAGTTTTCTGTAATTGGCGCTAAACATTCCAGGAGTTAAAAGTTCTCTTGCGTGTTTCTCCTTCATCTGCCAATCCCACCTGACCCTCTCGCACTCTCTCACTCACCAGACGCCCAGTGTTTTCCTATCCATCCCTTTAGTACAGGGTCTAGACAGAGGTTGAGGGTGAACATCTGACAGCATTCCTCCTCTTGGCCAGATTCCACAGTTGTCTCCAGTGACGTCAAACAGTTGAGAACAGGCAGTGCTCCATCGCATGTTGCTCATGGCTACATTCCAAATATCAGGCAGCTTCACATGCTACACCCGTCCTTTCTAATCTTTGCCGTGAGAACACTTTGTTTTAGGCAGCAGGGGTTAGCACCTGTGGCCGTGTATATCTCTGTAACTATTACACTGTCCCCCCCGTGTCCCTGTTAGTGGTGTGGGGCTAAAGAACACACTGTGGCTCATTTACCATGCTAGGTGCGGAGTTGCTGCAGTGCTTTTAAACTGGTTTTGTGTAAGCATACACTCCGAAAGGATGTATGTGTGTAGATTCAATCTATCTCATAAAGTGTTTAAGTAGAAGGATATTCACAATCATGGCACAACCTCAGGAAACCCAAGGAAATTTTCACATTTGGGTTCGCTCCAGGATTTATTTTCAGGTTTGGATATCTAGCATTGGCTGCAAATCTTCCTCGGACAACTTGTATTTGGGAAGGTCTCTGTTATTAAAACTCCCCCTTTTACCCTTTAAGAAACTTTACCATATTTCCATAATCTCTACAGGCCCAACCTTGAACAGATCTGTCAGCCACTGATGACACAATTCAGCTAGTTTGTTAGGTCTTTTCAACTAATTAAAATCAAACATTATGTTCAAATATACCAATTGAATGTCTTTGGATGTGTACTGTCTCTTTGCTTGTTAATCCTCCATGGCCTCTTGTCACTCCTCCATCTCTTCAATCTCTTCCAACTCTACAATCCCTAACCCCAAACTCTCAAACTTACTGATTCAGACCTACTGTGCATCCCATTCTTCCTTGTATTCCAGGATGTTTTGCAGTCTCCTTGGCCCAACATTCTCCAGAGTTCCCTTCCCAAATCTCCTGTCTCTCTATCTCGCTCTCTCTTCCTTTAGGACCCATCGCTTTGTCATGGTTATTTCCCTGTATCTCCTTTGGCTCAGCATCTGTCACAGTGAAACACTTCAGGCCGTTTTACTACACCAAAAAGCACTATGTAAATGCAAAGTGTTGTTGCTGCCACATCATTAAACTCTTGGCTTGTTTTCCCACAGGCAAAAGTGAAGGAATTTGTCCCAAAAATCATCCAGCTGCTGACTGAGTGGACAGAAACATTTCCACATGATTTTCAGGATGAGAAATCTATGAAGGAACTGAAGGACATTACTCATCAGATAGCACAGTGCGATGAGGTGAGGGGTTCAGCGGGGGATGGGAAGGATTTCTTTAAAAAAACTGATGTAGTTTTTTTCCCTTGTGCACGTGTTCTTTGATTAGGATTTAGAATTCCAAAGAATTTAATGTTCTTGTATCGCAGGATGTTTTGCAATATTTAGATAAAGAGGTTTCCACTAATGTTTTCACTCCAACATGTTGAGTGTTAGTCTCCTTCCTCAACCTCTCCACCACCACCACCACCTCCACCACCTCCCACCCCGACCCCACTCCCAACCTCCGTAATATCAAAATTACTGTTCTGTGGAGATTCTGGGAAGCTGGGGCATGCTGTCCTTAGAGTAAAGAAACTGAGGGGAGGAGGGGTGGGGTGATTTATTACAACTTGTTCAAAACTGAGGAGCCTTGGTAGCTAGTTGAAAACTGTTTGCATTGGAAGAAAAGTGAGTATACAGTGGATACAGATTTTTAGCAATTGGCAAAAGAACTCGAATGGGATGATGAGGCATATTTATTTTAATCAGTGAGTTCTTATGAACAGGTATACATTGCCTCAAAGTGTGGATTTAATTCTAACTTTCAAAAGGTGTAAATGTCTAGGAGACACTTACCACCTTTAAGAAGCTTCTTAAAACATACAATTTAGTCCAAACTTTGTCTTTTGTCCTAATATAGTAATTACTCAATTAACGTTCTAGTTATATTTCTGAAAAGTACAACATTAACTGGAACAGGGTTAAGTGAATTATTTTTTTTCTTATTAAAAGTAATGTAAAAGCTAGGTTTTGAAGTATCCTTCCCATCTTAAAGAAAACAGTATAAACTGAAAGCTTAAGTATTGTACATTGTTAAAGTACTGTCATTGTAAACACAATGAGATAAGTGTAAAAATGCAGAAGAAATAAGCTCAGATATAGTAAGAACTTGCGATGCTGGAGTCAGAGATAACACAGTGTGGAGCTGGAGGAACACAGCAGGCCAGGCAGCATCAGAGGAGCAGGAAAGCTGACGTTTCAGGTCGGGACCCTTCTTCAGAACTTTATACTCCTCTCGTGCTCGCTGCCTCTGTCCCTGTTTCCCAGTCCTCCTGGTTGCTGCTTTTCTCTCCCAAAGCCTAGAACAAGGGGGCATAGCCTCAAAATAAGGGGGAACAGATTTAGGACTGTGTTGAGGAGGAACTTCTTCACACAAAAGGTTGTGAATCTGTGGAATTCCCTGCCCAGTGAGGCAGTTGAAGTTACCTCATTGAATGTTTTTAAGGCAAAGATAGATTTTTGAACAGTAAAAGGAATTAAGGGTTATGGTGAGCGGGCAGTTAAGTGGAGCTGAGTCCACGAAAAGATCAGCCAAGATCTTATTGAATGGTGGAACAGGCTCGATGGGCTCCCGTTTCTTATGTTCTTACCCCAGTGAAGCACCTTAGGAAGATTAAAGGTGCTATATAAATTTTAAGATGTTGAAACCAGACAGAACATTTACAAGGGAGTTCAATACACACTTTTAAAAGACAATGTTAAGGGATAGGAATAGAGCCACCAGGTTGGATATGGAGTTAATGTCTGTGTGGTCATCCAATGCTGAAATTTCCTTGTCTCAGTCGTTTGAGAAATGGGGTGAAGGACCATCCTGGGGGTCACTGAGCACATTGTAGTTTTTGAGGGTAATAGAGTGTCTTGGGCAAGTGCCCTCTCTTAGTGAGAATCAAACCGCTGAGGTCAGAACATACCCAGAGGAGCTTCTCATGCAGAGCTAACAGAGTCTGTTTTGCAGTTTGAAAAGAGAGACCCGCACCCACAAATTCTCATGGCTGTCTGATCTTGGGAGTATTGAAGCTGGGGACCAGCACAAAGTGTAGAGTCTTCAGCCTTTTTGGGGAGGGGAGTTGTGGAGTGACTGAGTGTACGTTCTATCTTTTCATTTTCTCTGCACAACATCTCTCATCATTCCACTTCCTCTTTCTCCACCCTGTACAGATCAGGATGTAGCCATTACGACAGTAGCGAAGGAAAAGTAACAGATCTCCATGGTAACGAAATGAAAGAGATTCTTCAGGGCATGTCACAAAACCCCGAGTGTGTTAACAGTGACAAACAGTTTTCAACACATCAGTGTTTAGGTTAAAGCCAGCGAGGGGTTAATTCTTTGTCTACAGTTCCAAGTTGTTTGGGAAATATTCATCCCGGTTTAGGCAAAGAGAAACAGAGAAGCAGCAACTATTAATGGAATGTTTAGCAAAGTGAAGCCAGCACATTCTATATTCTTGTGCTGAGACTCCTCCCCCCTGCCCAACTCTTCACAAATAATCCATCTCTTTCAATCCCACAATAGCCAAGGCACAATCAAAGGAACTGTGTGCGGCCAAAACTGTTGAGAAAAGTGCTGCTTGAAAGGAGATACCAAAGGCTGAGATGGAGTAAATCGGACCCACCACATGTTTTCATTTCAAGGCCACAGGACTCCCTCAGAAGTCAGGCTTTCCAATCAGCCCCTGATGTGAAGGAGCTTTCTTTCCGAACGTAGAATTTGACAGCACACAAGGAGCTATCACCCCCTATGCTGGCTCTTTGGGAGAATTCCCCCAATCAGTCCCCCTCCTTTATCTGTGGCCCCGCATTTTCTTTTATCAAAAGATGCCACCACCTTCAGGCTATACGTTGCAGGTCACAACAACTTTGCCTGAAAGTCGCATGAGGGTTTCTCCAGGTAGACCTTAGCAGACGTCCTGTAGAAATGGTTGTCAACGCGGTTTCTCCAGAGTTTCAGCTTAAATTCTTGTAGACCATTGGGAGAAACCCCATGCAAGTTTTCTGATGTTGTCACTGATTAGCAAGCTGGCCTTTCACAACTTAAAGCTGCCTTTAGTTTAAGGGACATTCCGTTATAATGCAGAAGCCTGAATAAATATTTGGTGCTTTCTTGTTTTTTTTCTCTTGTTTCTACTAGTATGTCAGCCTTATTGGGACTGCAACTCCAAATATACAAATTATGAGCAAACATAGTCTATTCGGCCCCTTGAGCCTGTTCTGCCATTTGATAACATCAAAGCTAATTTGATATTATGGCCTGTACTTTCCTGTCTTATTCCCAAAATCTTTCACTCGCTTGCTGCCTTAAAAAAAATTCAATGACTCTGCCTCCACTGCTTTCTGTTCCACAGACTAATAAACCTTTGACAGAGGGGGGAGAAAGTATCTCCTCAGCTCCATCTTAATTGCAGACTGTTTATTTTTAGAGAGTGTCCCCTAGTTGGAGTTTGTCCCATAAGGAGTGCAGCATGAACTGAGAATGGCTGCTCAGCAAGGCCAACGCTGGCATTGCCCATTTTCAGGATACCTTTCTCATTGCATGCTACCTGAAGGGTAATAGTTACTCTGCCACTAGGTAGCCATATAACAAAAATGTTCTTATAGCTTTCAGTTGTAAGCTGGACCAGGACTCCTTTATACAAGCAAGCCTGAAATTCTGGAACAGTCAGAACTTCCAAAGCTCATACATCTGACCCAGTCTTGATTTGGCCTTTACGTTCAAAGCAAACTTGATTTGGGTTATATAACTGAATTTTTCTTTAATTCATTTATTGGATGTGGGCATCACTAGCCAGACCAGCATTTATTGTTCATTCCTAATTGCCCAGAGGGCAGTACACAGTTGTCAACCACATTGCTGTGGGTTTGGAGGCACAAGTAGGACAGACCAGGTAAGGATGGCGGATTTCCTTCCCTAAAGGGCACAAGTGAACCAGATGGGTTTTTATAACAATTGACAGTGGTTGCATGTTTATCGTTTAGCCAGCTTTTTCTTTATTGTAGATTTTTATCGCATTCAAATTTCACCATCTGCCATGTCCCTAGAGCATTACCTTGGGGTTCTGGATTTCTAGTCTAATGACATTACCATATGCCACCCCCTTCCCTTGTTTCACTGTTATACCACAAACTGTGCCGTTCATTAAATACCTTAGTTTTGTTACACACCAGTGCAAATCTTCTTGTTTATCCCCATGTGTCCTGAGATTTAGAGACATAAAGCTAGCTGCTTTATGCTTATGCATATCTGCTTCACCAGTGGTAGGTACAAATGAGTTGGATTATATTTTTGAATACTGATGCGATATGGCTCCCCAGTGTAATGCACATGCCTGCCTCCTATCCTGCAGGCTCCACCTGTTCTCTGTATGACAGTGTTTCCTCTCTGCTCATTTCCCTCAGGAAAACTCCAGCGTGAAGAAAAGCATTAGTCAGATGACCCAAAGTCTGATCCGCAACCTCTCGAGCCACAGCCAGTACCAGGAGGCACGGGAAATCATCAAACCATCGGTCACGGACAAGCAAACCATCCTGAAACCCAAGACTCAGTCCAGTCAGAAGGATATACTGAGTGTCTGCAATGACCCCTGTGTCTTGGCCCAGCAACTCACCCATATCGAGATGGTACGTGAATGCTTTTGGGGACTTTACAAAGCTGCGTATCAGAAAGATATGAAACGGTGCGGGGTCAAGAAAAGAAGCATTTAAAAAGAGTTTCCGAGTTACCAGTGATGATTTGACACGCACAGATGGCTTGTTTGTCACAACACTGCCCTTTCACCCTCAAACCTGGCTCCAATCCATTTTTACTGCCACCACAGTTGAGAAATGAGGGCTGATTTTCAGAGTGTGCTGTACTGGCACACAGTCTCTCTTGAGCAAACAGGGAGTAAGGAGCTGGATGGAATTGCAAACTTTAGGTCAGGGACTCATTAAAATACGGAAGCAGATTTTTCAACCTACAAGACTGTGCTGGCCTTTTTTTTTAATCCATTAGACCTCATAAAATCCTGCTCTTCCTAATGCACCATACACCTTGTGTTACCTTTTTCTTCAAAACAATACATTTTCATCCCCTTTTGAATGAATTTTGTGGATCCTTTTTGAAAACCGGTCTGCAGCAGAGGGTTTCACGTGATAACCCAGCTGCTGTGTGTAAAGAGATTTTTTTTTTCCTAATCCCTTTAATTCTTTTTGAAATCAGCGCCCTCCCTTTACCATCTCAATGAGCAGTGACAGCAACCTTTCATCATTTGGCTTCATAATCTAGAGGGCGCAGGGGTGACTGAAAGACTTTTTTCTCTATTCGAATGTCTTTACACTGCAAACTTTACTGCACTGTATCTGAGAGTGGGAATACTCTAATACTGTCTGTGATGTGTGCCCAATTTTAAACATGACAACTGCGTTTCTAAACAGTGATTGGTCTGGCTGTTATTCATGTAACCGTGTCTAAATTGATATCTCCTCTATTCCTGCAGGAACGATTAAGACACATCACTCCAGAGGAGCTGGTGCATATATTTAACCACATGGATTCAATGGACAATCACAAGGTAGGGATGTGAAGTTTTGCAATGGTCTGCCTTCAAGCTTCTCCTGGCAGCCCTGCTTATCCAGAGTTTAGCCTTTGAACCTCAACGATTTTCTGTCATTAGTAAATCGTAGCAGGCTGTTTGTTCTGTGAAGAATGTCTGTTTGTGTTTGTGCAATTATTGTGTAACACGGCTACATGTTTCAAGCTCAGTTGGTTGGGAGGCCAGAGTGTACAATGACGAGATGCAATAGGAGGAGAAGTCAGACCATTTGGCCCCTCATATACTGCCCTCTGCCGTTCAGTAAGATCATGGCTTACCTGTTTGTGTTTTCAATTCCACATTCACGTGGCCCCTTTGATTCCCATGCCCAATGAGAATTTATCCCCCTCTGTCTTAAAATATACTCAATGATCTCAACTTCATTGCCTTCTAAGGCAGAGTTTTTCAAAGTTGTACAAGCCTATGAGAGAAAATCATGTCTCCTCATCCCTGTCCTGAAAGGGCTACCCATAATTTTAAAACATTAATTTCAATCTAAAACAATACCTCCAGTGTCCAAAGATGTGCAGGATAGATGGATCGGCCGTGCTGAATTGCTCCATAGTCTTAAGGGATGTGCAGGCTAGGAGGATTAGCCATGGAAAATGCAGGATTATGGGGATAGGATTGGGGGGTGGTCTGGGTGGGGTGCTCTTCGGAGGGTTGGTGCACACTCGATGGGCTGAATGGCCTGCTTCCATGCTATAGGGTTCAATGATTCTGTGATTCCTAGACTCACCTATAAGAGAAGGCGTCTTTTCAACGTTCACTTTGACAAGAACTATTCAGGATCTTATACAAGTCAAGTGAGTCACACCTTGGTCTTCAAACTGAAAACTGTGAGAAACAGGAGTCGGCCATTCAGCCCCTCAAGCCTGCTCTGCCATTGATTAGAATGGTGGCTGATCCAATGCTCTTCACACCCACTTGCCTGTCCTTTTTCCCCCATAACCCTTGATTTCCCCTTCTGATTAACAATCTATCTGTCTGTCCAGTAGGAACAAGCCCAGTCTGTCCTACCTTTCCTCATAAGACAACCCATTCATTCCAGTTCTAAGCCTGCTAAGTGAGTTAATGCTGTTCTAGCTAAAGATAAGAAAATATTTCAATGGAGCATGCTGATGCTGACCATGCGTTTCACTTAGCCACCTCCCTCAAGTTCCAACACTGACGTCTTACAGCTGGTGGGCCACTGGTTTAAAATGGTTCCAGGTTGTTCAGGTCTCCCGTCTGCTGCCTCCTCCTTCCCACCCATCCAACTCCTCCCCACACCCACCCTCCATCTCCTCCTCCTCCCCACCTCTCCCCAACTCTGTTCGTCCTCCTCCCTCTCCACTCCCTCCTTCCCCTCCCCCAGTACTGCACTCCCCTCCTCCTTCCCCAAACCCTCACTCCCTTCTTCCTACTCCTTCCCCAAACCCTCACTCCCTTCTTCCTCCTCCATCCCCAAACCCCTCACTCACAACTCTTCTCCTCCTCCTCCTCCCCGCACCTTCCTCCTCCTGCTCCTTCCCGCCTCCCAGCTCGCTGCCTTCCCCTCCTCCCCTCCCTACCAGACCGAGACCCGGCGTGGGCTGGTTTTGACGGGATTGATGCTGGGTTTTTATTGTGGCTCCGAGTCTGGAATGTGATCGTCCTGGAGCCACCAATTTACACAGCAAACAGCTGGAAGGAGGCAGAGAGAAATCTTAAACCACAAGCTGCCTGCATGCATCAACACCCTCCAGAGTGTTTTGTTTTTGGGAGGGAGGGGTAGCGGTGTCAGAAAATCACTTATCAAAGTCTTCATGTTTCAGCTGCTGGTCAAAGTCTCGACATTTATGTTTTTGTTTTAAATTCTGCTTCTTTTCAAGAGCTGTCGCAGTGACATCAAGAAGACGTGCAACTTGGAAGCGTGTGACAACTGGTTTAATCGGCTCAGCTCTCTAGTTGCCACTGAGATATGCAGAGTGAGTTCACAGGAATGAGTGCCTTGCTTCTGGCAAGCAATTACTCACCTCAGCTGCTGTGTGGCAGTATGTGTCAGTAATATTAGCGGTACAGTTGCTTCAGCCCTTTGTGCGTTTTGGAGATGGGGAGAGAGTCACCCAGGAAAGCAAATGATTGCATTAAATCGCTCCCCCGCCAAATCTCCAGCATGTGTCTTTGGGGGGGGGCTACACTTTTGATTTTGCTACCTCAGTGTTTTGATCCATTCCCACACTCCACGAAGGTTCTGCAAAGTTAACTCTTCACTCTCGTGCTGTGCTCTACACAGAGAGCACTGGAGAAATTCAGCTAGTTTGGCAGCATCTGTTTTCAGAGAAACTGTTCATGTTTCAAGTCTGAAAGGACTGTTTTTCAGAACTCTGCGGGTCTGTTTGTTTCAAGTTTTCAAACTCTGCAGTTTTTTTCGTCTTTTATATGAAAATGTGTTCTTTGTGTGTGACAGGTTGTGCAGGCAAATATATGTGATTGATTGGAGGGAGGAGATGAGGGGGTCTGCAGAATCCTAACTGACTATCCAAAGTCTTCCTCCTGCATGTATACCCTTCTCACAGAGGCATTATCTAATTGCAGGTTGGGAAAAAGAAACAGAGGACACGAATGTTGGAATTCTTCATTGATGTGGCACGGGAATGTTTTAACATCGGAAATTTCAATTCCCTAATGGCTATTATCTGTGAGTATCTTCTCTTAGAAACTGTCCAGTTCCTGACCCCCACCGCACCACCACACCCCGCACCTCCCCACCCCTTGCACATCTCCACTTTTCATTGGTCCACTGTTGGAAGCCAGACTTTTCAGCTCCTGAGCTCTGAAATTCCATCCCCACCAAATTAAAATAAAAAATCCCTTCTTCCGCAATTACATGAGTGGCTTCCTTCTGTGACATAACATTCAACCCATCTTACCTGTGTCAGTTCTATTACTTAGTGCCAATCCTCTGTTTTCACTTGTTCTCCCCCACACACAGCAGACCATTTCCTGCTCCCCCTTTCTTAAAAGCTCTCTTCGAACCCAACTGCTACTCAACTTCCCAAATATCCCCTGACGTGGCTTAATGTCAGATGTTGTTTGTGAAGCCCCTTTGGATATTTTACAATGTTAAAAGCGCTGTGTAAATAAAGCTGATGCTGTCATAGTTCTTAGGATCCCTGCAGTGTGGAATCAAGCCATTCGGCCCATTGAGTCCACACACCCATCCAGACCCATCCCCGTATCCCATCCCTATAACTCTGCATTTCCCATGGTTAACCAACCTAGCCTGCACGTCCCTGTATACTATGGGGCAATTTAGCATGGCCAATCCACCTAACCTGCACATCTTTGGACTGTGGGCGGAAACTCACACAGAACACAGGGAGAACATGCAAACTCCACACAGACAGTCACCCAAGGCTGGAATCAAGCCCAGGTCCCTGGCACCGTGAGGCAGCGATGCTAACCACTGTGTCAGATTAAGGAGAGTGGAATCTCTGTCTTCCTGTTTCTCTGTCTCTCTCCCTCCTGTCCACTGCTGTCTGAAGAATAAAGGCACACTAAGTACAGTTTCTTCACTGATAGTACTTCTCTCCTTCTGTCACAGCTGGAATGAATCTGAGTCCTGTTGCCAGGTTGAAAAAAACCTGGTCCAAAGTGAAAAAGGCAAAATTTGAAGTTTTGGAAGTAAGTATAGTGTGTGTGTGTGTGTGTGTGTGTGTGTATACGTGCGCTCACGGTTTCTGGAAATCTTTTCGTTGTTTCCTATTGCACAATGATGATTGTAAAATGATTAAAGAGGAACCACGCAAATCTAAGGTCCCTACTTTTCTGGGTCTTCATGCTGCAAACTTGATAAAATTGTTTTCCTTTGTACCCTATAGACTGATCCTTCCAGTTACATCCTTCCCAGCCTCTTGTTTATAGTCCCAACAAGTTACTTGGCTCAAACATAAACTCCCAGCAGGCACAAGCGGAAGCTCATGCCACCTTCTCAAGGGGCAATTGGAATAAAAGAAATAGAAGCAGGAAGCATCTGCGCCCCCCCACCATCATTCAGTAAGATCATGGCTGATCTTTTCGTGGACTCAGCTCCAACTTACCTGCCTGCTCACCATAATCCCTAATTCCTTTACTGCTCCAAAATCTATCTATCTTTGCCGTGAAAGCATTCAACAAGGTCGCCTCAACTACTTTGCTGGACAGGGAATTCCACGGATTCACAACCCTTTGGGTGAAGATGAATAAGAGATGTCAGCGTACCCAAGGAGAGAATAAACAAAAATCTCTCAGTAGAGGGATGGTGAGCGGGATAGGGTTAGATTGGTAGTTTGAAAGAAAGAGTTGCCAGGGAGTTGCTCAGGAATGTGAGAGAGTTATTCTGGTGCTGAATTGATCTTGGGGACTGAGGTGTAAAGGGTAGAGTGTGCGATTTGTTGAATTTTGGATCAATGGTTGGCCTGCCCCTGTTTATTGCTCTGTGATTACAGCACCACCATGTGGCAATGCTTTGGCTAAATGGCCCCATATCTGCAGGATGTTCTAGGATTTGCACTCAAATATTCACACTGTCATGTACGGGAATGTGATCTCCCTGAGCATCAGATACAAGAGCTCTGCCCACAGGACCTGGGTACCCATTACCAGCCTAAACAAATGCATGGGTCTTCAAAGTATCCTGAATGTTCCAAAAGATGATCAGTGCAGCCTCAAAAACATTATGTTCATTGTAAAGTTTATTTGTCCTACAGCTGTGATGCTCACAGAAAACACTTCAGGTTGAAATTGTTTTGGCTTGAAGAGGTGTGCATGAAATCCCTCTCTGGTGTTTTAACAGAGGCCATGACTTGCTTTAAATGGGTCAGTGTCTCCTGTAAAACAGCACAAACATATGCTGAACAAAAACACAAGTTGCCGGAAAAGCTCAGCAGGTTTTGACTCACAATCATATGCTGATATTGCCACAGCACCATTTTGAGATTCAGTCCATTAATGTTGTTTGTTTCTAACATTCCATCCCCTACTCCACATTCCATCCTGTGTAATATATACCGGATGTCAACATAGCTGTGAATGAACATGACGTGGGAGCATCATTCATGGCATTTACAGGATGGATGTAAGCCATTCAGCCCATCATGTCTGTGTGGAGTCTTTGGGTTTTATTTGATGACTGTACCATGTCCTGGCTCTTGGCCATAGCCCTGTACTTTCTTCTGTTCTTGTGTGCATCAGACACAGTCGGGGTTGGGGGAGTGAAGAAAATAGGAGGATAAACCTTTTACACAGGGAGTGGTAATGTACATGCTGCTTACAGGGTAGTGGAAGCAGAGAATATTAACAACATCCAGAGGAACAACATCTTGAGGGGAATAAATTTGCAGTGGTGTGGGGATAGAATGAGGTAATGGGACTTACTGGACTTTTCTACAGCGGGCTGGCACAGACTCAATAGGCTATCATTTCACAATAACTCCCTTTTGAACATTGTAGAAACTGCTTCCACCAGCCTTCCAGGCAGTGCACTCTAGACCACAACAATGTGCTACCATTTCATTTTTCAAAGATAAATCCTTTTTCCAATCTAAATTTCTGGCATTTCTGCTTATCCTTCCTGCAAAACCATACCTAATACCAGTCTCCAATGGGATGCTAGTCCCAAAATCTGGGTGACCCCTTTCTCCCTCGGGGTCAGAATGAAGGTGTGTGCTTTCACTGACATACTCACACCATTGGTAAAATAATCAAGAAAGCTTTCAACTTAACGCCAGATTGTGTGTTTTCTTTGTTTGGTTGAACAGAATCACATGGATCCGTCCAGCAATTTCTCTCACTATCGAACAGCACTTCAGGGGGCAGTGCAGAGATCGCAAACAGCGCACAGCAACCGGGAGAAGGTAAAAAAATCCATCACTATAGCAAGATGTTGCTCGATTTTAATTATCTGTCAGGGAAGAAAGGCCAGCCAGGGTTCAATCTTGTCTCTTCTATGGGTATCAGTGGAGGTTTATAGAACCCATGGCACTCTATGTATGTGGAAATGCATCAGTTGAGAAAGGCCATTTGGTCTAAATGGTTATGTTTGTGTTTATGCAGTGCTCAAGTATCCTCCGCATTAATTCTGTTGGCCCTGTCAGGATAACTGACTATCCTTTTCTTACATATACATTCCTACCCATTCCTCAGTGCATGGAGACATTGTAGCCATTTAGCCCATCAAGCCTTTGTCTGCTCTCCACAGTGCAATCAAAGAATCACAATAGAATCCCTACACTGTGGAAGCAGGCCATTCAGCCCATCAAGTCCACACTGATCCTTCAAAGAGCATCCCACCCAGACACCCTGTCCTGTAACCCTGCATTCTAATCCACCTAGCCTACACATCCCTGGACACTATGGGCAATTTAGCATGGCCAACCCACCCTAACCTGCACATCTCTGGACTGTGGGAGGAAACTGGAGCACCCAGAGGAAGCCCACGGCAACATGGGGAGAGTCCTGTCAGTTGGTTTTCTTTTCCCCAGCTCTGTCCTGCATGTTTGTTTCTCCTAAGAGGCCATGAAATTTCCTTTCCAAACTATTCACCATCCAAGCCTCCAGCACCTTCACAGGCAGCAAGCAGCTTCAAAAATATTCACGTTCCCCCACCCCTGTAACTGTTAGTGAAAATGTTAAATCTGCATCACATCGTATTTGTGCTGAAAGGAACACCTTGGCCCCACTCCTACCCCTCAGCTTCCAATCTTTCTGGGTTCCTTATGAAACAGCCTCACCCTAGTTAGTTTATCACGCGATAGTTATTGAAAGAAAGCAGGAATATTATCCATAGCCAGCTTGTGTTCCTCCTTCCATCAAGACCATGCACAAGAAAGAACAGATTATCTGACTGCATGTTTCATTCGTTTCCGCGGGAGCTTTCAGTACGCAGTGTGTCATCTGCATTTGCGAACATAATATTGAATGAATACACTTCAAACCATTGTTATTGTGTGTGTTGATTGAGAGACATGATAAGGCACTGTGCGAATGAGATAAGACCGGATAAAGTATTACCATTTGGTTTTTCAAATTTCCTTTAATTAAAAGAGCTATTTCTGATTCAGTAACTCAAGGGGATAAATTGTTTCTTTTTGTAGATTGTCATTCCAGTATTCAATCTCTTCATTAAAGATATCTACTTTCTGAACAAGATTCACGCAAACAGGCTAGCTAATGGGCAAATTAACTTCAAGGTAAGGAGGCTAGCAGCAACATCTCACACTAAACAGGTTTGCAGTAGGTAGCCATTTCACGGTTCTGTATCAAGACGAATAATACCACCTGGTTTTATAATACTTTTCCCCCTCTCTCTCTGCAGAAATTCTGGGAAATTGCCAAGCAGATCAATGAATTTATGATGTGGAAACAGGTCGAGTGTCCCTTTGAGAAGGACAAGAAGATCAAAAACTATCTCCTGACAGCTCCTGTTTACACGGAAGAAGGTAGGTGCCTCATGTTAACAAGCTGGGCTTGTGAGACTCATGCAACATCATAGGGTGACACGATCCACCTTCATTACACTAGTAATTTTGGTGCTTCAGATATCAGTTTAGTGAGGGTTATGAGAAGTCGTGGTTGATGTACCTAGATTGTGACTTCGATTGATACCAGCAGTGCCACTTTTGAGTTAGATGCCCCCTTTAAATCGGCCACAGCAACAGAAGACAGTGCTTTGAGTAAAAGTGAACATCAACTTCTACATTAAAAGCAAGATACTAGAGATCTGTGTCCTGGAGCATCTGTGGAGAGGGAAACCGGGTTAACATTTTGAGTCCCAGTTTGACCTCTTCGGACCTGTCAGGTTCGGTGCAGGTTGGTTTCTCCCAGCTCTTGCTGATGGGATAGAATCCCAGTGCTGTGGAGGGGCAGTTGAGGTAGAGAGAGCATGAGGGAAGAGCGGAGACTGAGAGGATGAGAGAGAGCATGTGACAGGAAGGAGGGCAGGGGGTTGTGAGGAAGAGGTGTGGAAGGATGAAGTGGGTAAAGAGAGCGAGCGTGTGAGCTGGAGTGGGTGTGTGCGCGCAAACAGGGAGTGGGAGCAAGAACATGGACATGGGAAAGGAGACAGGTGTGATGATGAAGTTAAAAATAAAATCTACCACAAAGTTTCTGTTCAGGAGAGGCTTTAACACAGACGTTCCACTTGAAAGTTCTAACCACCGTGGTGTATACACTTTTTATCATCTTTCCTGTATGTCTTCCTGCTTAATGCTGTCGTGCAGTGCAACCTGTGAGTCTGCAGCAGAGCCAGAAAGGGCCTGCTAACTGCCAGAGATTGATCTGTTGTTGATCTTTGACATCAATATACTCAACAATTGAGCATCCACAGCCCAGTGCAGTAGAGAATTCCAATTCCATCGAGTGAAGAAATTTCTCCTCATCTGTCTTAAACAAGGTGGATTGAGATACATTTGAGAGAGACTGTAATTGAAATCATTATGGATCTAGCTAGCCTGAAAGTGCTTGATGCTGGCACTATGGGAGTGACTTAAGCCCAACCTGTCTATGATGAAACTGTAATAAACACTGAGAATGCTAGAGAAACTCAGCAGGTCGGTGGAGGGAGAGAAACAGAGTGAACGTTTTGAGCCTGGTATGACTCTTGAAAACTGGATGGGGTGGAACACTGGTTTTATACTGTGCTGTATTCAAGAAATGTATCCATTGGAGTGCCCTTTCCTAGGCATCTGCTGTCCAATGAGTTGGGTTAAAATTCACTACTGATTGTCCATTCCCAGCAATAATAAGCAGCAGAATTATCAAACCAAGAAGTTCTTTAGGTAACACGCATCTGTCTCAGATTTGGAGTGATGTGGTATAAAAGGTTTACCTCTAAAATTTTCTCTCTTTTCCAGCACTTTACTTGGCTTCATTTGAGAGCGAGGGGCCAGAGAATCACATGGAGAAGGACAGTTGGAAGTCACTCAGGTACCAGTCCCCTCACTTCTGTTTCCTATCCTTTGAGCACACTGTGGCTAAATTGGCATCAAATTGTGCGCAAACGGGTCCATATTTTAAGATCTAAGAATACGCAAATGTTCTCTTAGCTCAGTGGTAGCAATCGCACCCCTGGGAGAGAACAGTAAGGGTTTAAGCCCCATTCCAGGATTCAGTGCAATTTAATTCATTAATTTAATTTGACAAAACTTCGGCAAGGGGACTCTGTTTTCAATTGTAAGAATAAATTGACACAGGTAAAGGTTTGAACAACAGCCGGACTGATTCTCAAATGGAGCTTTTGTCCGATTTGGATATTGAGAGTGCATTTCCTCAGTAATCCAGGGTTCTGACCCTCTTCGAAGGAAGATAGAGCAGGAGAAAAAGATTTACCACACACTCTCTTTCACTTAACTTCCATTATTAGACAAGTGGCCACCTTTGTTTCTGCCTGGGTGCATTCACATGGGCCGAATAGTCTTCCCCCATGCCTATGAGGATGAGAGGCACAAATTTCCACATAATTCTAGTTGATTCTTGCTTGTTTAGCTTCAGGCAAGACCTTGTGTGTGCATGCTTGTAATTTTTTCCTTGTATTACACGTCAATTTCTGTCAAATGGTTCCTTTTTTTTCGGAGGAGTTTTAAAGACTAGCGCTCCAAACATAAACCATCTCATGTAGATCCATTTTGGCTGTGTCATCTGTGGTACTAGTCTTGCCTCCGAAGTAGAAGGGTGTGGATTCACATCCCACTTCAGGACTTAAACAAACATACATTGGTGAATAAAGAATGAAAACCAGGCTTTTGGTTGAGACAGTAAACCAAAGCCCTACCTGCTCTCTCCAGATGGATGTAGAAGATCTGATGGCACCTACTTCAAAGAGTTTTCCTTGGCAAATATTTAATCCTCAATTGGTACCACAAAAATGAACAGATGACTTGAACATTACCACATTGCTGCCAGTGGGAGCTTGCTGTGCAAAATGTGGCTGCCACATTTCCTCCACTACAGCAGTGTCTACACCTCCAAAAGTACAGCATTATTTATAAAAAAACTCTTTGGGATATTCTGCAGTCTCTGTTGCCTCTTTGCACCATTCCTTTGGAAGAAATGCTTAACTGGTCATCCAGTTCTGTTGTATCAGGACCTTCCTGTAAAATAACCATGACTTTGCTTAATATAACAGTTGCTGCACTCCAAAGTAACTCACTGTTAGTGTCACATATTGAGGATGTTGCTAAAGGAGGTGAGGAGGGGAAATAGAAAGAATGGTACAGCCACTGAAGGTCTCAATACACCCTGGAAAAAATACTACAACTCATTGCAAACTGCAGTGACTGTGCAGGAAGTTATGAATGACAAGTTGAACAGCAAGAGAATTCACTGGAAGCCACCCAACCTCTCTCCTTCAGGAACATCTCTACTGCACCAAACAGGGATTAAATTTACTGGCCCCTGACAGACTACATTCCTTCACTCCCATAGCTATCGTGCTCAGCTCAACATTTTACACAGCAGCTTTAGCCATTGGATTTATTACAACATTGTTTAGTTCCAAAACCATGAGAACCAGGTTATATACACAATTTAATATGGATTAGATCCAAATTGCAGACATCAAAGAACTTCAGATGCTGGAGACAAACAAAAACAAAATTGTTGAAGAAATTCGGCAGGTCTGGCAACATATGTGAAGAAAAACTAAAGTTAACATTTGGAGTCCAATGACCCTTTTGAAGAAGGGACTCAAAATTTTAACTGTTTCCTCTCCACAGATGCTGCCAGGCCTGCCGAGTTTCTTCATTTATTTGAATATGTACAGTTTGCAGATTTTTCCTCATCTTATAATCTGAATATTGCTAGTAGTTAAAAGACGAAGAACCTCATCATCATCAAGGGTAGTTAGAGAATAGACATTTTTAAGCCAATCACTCAGTTTCAAAACTATGAGAATAAACATTAATGTATAATCTGAGGCAGCATGATGGCTCAGTGGTTAGCACTGCTGCCTCACAGCGCCAGGGACCTGGGTTCGATTCCACCCTCGGGTGCCTGTTTGCGTGGAGTTTGAACATTGTCTGCGTGGGGGTGCTCCCGTTTCCTCCCACATTCTAGAGATGTGTGGGTTAGGTAGATTAGCCATGGGAAACTGCCGATAGTCCAGGAATGTATAGGTTGGGTAAGTGGTTATGTGGATAGGGGATGGGTCGCTCTTCAGAGGGTTGGTGATAGGCTGAATGGCCTGCTTCCACACAGTAGGGATCCTAATTTCTAAAAATTTCCTGTGCTAATTTGAACAGTACCATGCCATATTTAAAGACAGACCTGAACAGGAAGACATGACCTCAGTTGAATTTATGCACTGAATCTTGGAGTGGGGGCTTAAACCTTAGGAGTTGAGTTTGCTGTCACTGCTAGAAATAGACCAGCACTCCAGGGTCATGTTAAATGATTAACTCCTTAGGTTTTGACATATTCATTTTCCCTTTCTCTTTTTCTTGGCAGGGCAACTCTGTTGAACAGGGCATGAAGGAACCACGTTGTACATATTAGACACTTCAAACCATTTGCACTGCGACAGATTTTAGCTCCAGTTGGATGGATAAAAAAAAGAGACTTGGCACGGTCAATGTTGCTTTAAAATATGTAAATTTTGGTCTTGATTCAGACTCTGGTCATGACTGTACAGAGAGAAAGAGAGAAAGGCCAATTGATGGGGCTTTGGTCCTGCTGGTTGGGATATGTATGTTAAACGCCTTTTACAGCAGACTTTGTGCTTTGACTTGTAAAATAAATGGAAGACAAAGAGAAGGCAGGAGATTGACTTTTGCCATGGGGCAGGACCCTAAACTGAAGAAAAGCATCATGGGAAATCCCCGGCTGCTATTTCCATGGATACCGGTAGAAAATACATAGGACAATGGCAGCCTGTGAGAAATTCCTACTACTGTCAATTCATTCTTTGTTTTGTGATAACTTGCTGCTTCTGTGAGAGAGAGAGTTAGTTACGGGTATAAACAGAATTGAAGGAACTATATGTTGCACCATAATTTTACTGTTTTATGGACTGGGTGATGTTGGAATGGGGGGAGGGGACATTTGATGGAGGCAAGGGAAGGGGACAAATTGGCAGAGTTTAGACAGGCTTGGTCTTGAGACCATGCTATGAGGCAAAAGGGATCTTTATCCAGCACGGAATGTTTACTGATGGTTTTACACTGGTTTACAGAATGACCACAATGTGATGCACGGGATTGAAGCTGCCCTTGTCTTCTGCGCTAAAGAAGTGTGCAGATTGTTTTGTGTTGTGCTTTATAACTCACATTTTCGCTGCTCTATAGGACTGAAGAACTGTTTCTTTTGTGCAGGGAACAGGCTCCACTTTAGATACTCATACACTTGAATGAAGGACACAATGCAGTCATTGTTTCACATTCCAGTCTGTAGCCCAATGGAATGGATGGTCCCTAGGGCTGCAGGAGCCAGCATTGCCCTGTCTTACTGCAGTGTGTGCATGTTGATGCTGTTCCAACTCAATCCAATCTCACAACTTTTTAAAACAACTAATTAAACTTTGTAAGAAAACTGTTTCAGATTTGAAATGTCACTTTTTACAAGACAGCAAGTCTTAAAGGTTTCGGCTCACTGTTTAAATTTTCTAATCCATCACTGGGTAGAGACTTTCTTTAAAAGAAAATTAGTTGCAATATATCATAGATCACCCTTTTCCCCACTCACAGAGTAAAGGAACAGTGTAGGATTGTCAATAGATAACTTCAGGAATATTGTACAGAAGTCTGTGTCTCAGATGGAGAAGATGCAAGTGTATGAGGGACCAACCAGCTTAATCCTCAACGATCAAGAGTAGGCTGAAGGAGACTGACTCCATAAATAAGGTTTAGTCAATTACAAAGGGGAGGCAATGGCCTAGTGGTATTATCACTGGATCATTAAGCCAGAGACCCAGATAACTTTCTGGGGACCTGGGTTCAAATCCTGCCATAGCAGATGGTGGAATTTATAATCCAATAACTATCTGGAATTAAGAATCTAATGATGATTGTGAATCCAATGTTGATCGTTGGGGAAAAACCCCATCTGGCTCACTAATGTCCTTTAAGGAAGGAAACTGCCATCCTTACCTGGTCTGGCCTACATTTGACTCCAGACCCACAGCAATGTGGTTGACTCCGTTACCCTCTGGGCAATTAGGGATGGGCAATAAATGTTGCCTTGCCAGTGACACCCCTCATTCCATGAATGAACAAAGGAAAAAAAACAAAGAAACAACCTGGGAATGAAGATGACAAAAATAAATCCAAAATGATGTATTCTGGCACAGTGTTAAGAACACTTCACATGGAGCTTAACTGGCAACTTGAACTTTGCAGCTGGATGGTGTAGTAAGGATTTGGGTAAAATTGGCTACAGTCTGCCGAATCCATCAATGTGTGTCCCTTTATACAGACAACAGATGATTTTATCCAAACATGGGATAACACTAACAAGATAATGTTAGCACCTTACAATGCCTTAGGTACTGGGATACATTTCTATCTGTGCCATTGGTAATTGGATGGATTTCACGGTGAGCTCCCTGTAGCAGTTACTCCAATTAAGGCTAACTATAACCTTGAGAGGGATCAGAATCCACTCTGAGCAATCTGTGAAGGTCTGCTCGAAGGCACAGAGGATTGGACACTTGGTGATTCAGAAAGTGCCCCACGAATGTACACACAGACATAAGAAAATAGGAGCAGGCCCATCAGCTACCTCCTCCCCAACCACCAATAGGTTCTGCCATCCAGATGACCATAACATCCTCATTCCTAACTTATTCCCACTCCCTGTTCCTTCCCAAGAATTACTGATGCCCTTGTTAATCAAATCTACCTGCAGTGCATCCTGAGAGTTACTAACCAAGGTGATTGGTGTTCATCAGCCACCAAAAAACTCAACTTTGTTTCCTGAAAAATCCCTTAATGACAAAGCACAGCAGACTCAGTCATCAGAAAGCAAGAAGGTGGAGCTCTGGTTATTCTAGAACCTCCGTCCTTGAAACCTTATTGGCCTGTACACCAAGGCTTGATACCATATTATCATTACCCAGAACCCATTGGGATTGTGCCATCTTCACACTGGCGCGAATTGGCATAATCCCATTTCCCTGCATATCTGCTCTGAAAATGAGTTTAACTGTAACTGCAAGTTGCTACCAAGGAAACCTTCATTTAATAGATCCCTGTTCTGCCAACTCTAAAGTAGTCATATTGGGAGCATCCTGAGGGAAACATTCGTAGGGTGTTGTGAGGAACAAGATTGTTTAGAAAAATAAGAGGATTATGATTTAGTTATGCATTTGACACCAGAAGTTCTCTTCCTTCCCGCCACCTCAACCACCACAGCCCATTAAGATTAAAATCCATTCTGTTGTTGTTGACTTTATACATTAGAAGCAACACCATTCATTTTACTTTATCTCTCGAACAATATCGGCAGCACACATTTCAGTATGGCAACCTGCAAGGTCGCCAAGTATCTACTTGTAAAATATATACGCCCAGCTGAAGATAACCACAGTCTTCTCCTGCTTTGCAAGAACACTGCTCTGGTCTGGATTTACTGACCCACAGCACCCTGGCAAAAAAATACAGGCAGACGAGAACAAGTACAGTTTTCACAAAGTCCGCAAGTCGTTTTCTGAAGCTGCGAATTAAGGCAAAGAAATGCAAACATTAAAGAAATATTGTGTCCTTGGAAAAAAAAACTGGAAGAAGTTGAACTGGATTTGGTAACACTAACTTAAGTACAGCAGCTGCTTAATACATTGTGTAAGTGGCAGCATCCTTTATTTGAAAAAGTCTTTCGTGAAAATGCACTGTGGGTTGCAAATATCATGATTGGGAGACAAATCTCACAGCACTTCAGCCTCTTTTGTGTGGAGGTGGCTTTCACAGGTCTCTGTGGCATCTGCTCTGCAATTTAACGCAATTTAAAAAGGAAGTGTATAAATTTGCCCCTTCCCCTTAAAAATGAACACCTCCCTTCATTTTCTTGCACAGGAAGCATCGCTTCCCAGTCAGGAAAAGACTCAGCAGCAGTCCTTTTATTTTCTTCTCCTGTGAAGGGTTCACTGTTTAGAAGCACTGAATGTGTCGTACGCCACTCTCAATGTTTAAGTTGTTGGTTTTTATAAAGGATACAACTATGGAAAATAAATTATGTGAAAATCTTACTGACTGGCTATTTCAACTTTGATTGTCCTAATTGCAAATTTCCAAATTGCTCAGTGTAGGCTTGTTCCCAAAAAACAAAGGCTTGGTGTCTGGCAGTGGGATTTGCCTTTGTCTTGAAAAGGGAAGGGTGAGGCTGGAAAGGTCTGCATGTTGACAGGGGGCTCCCCCTGCTAAAGGATGTGATTTTTAAAATAATGTTTGTTTCACCACTAACACAGACGGGGCATCAGAAGAAAACCACTTGCTAGCGCATTACGAATTAGCACCAATGTTGCACGGATTAAATATTAATTAAAAACTAGCTCTTGTTCTGTGGTCTTGCTCACAGGAACAACTTGAATTTAGGTAGCATCTAGTATTTATGTGGATTGAAAGTACGAGGAGAATTTTGACAATGCAGATATTGCCAAATGGGAGCTAAAACAGGGAAGCAATATTGTATAAGATAGTTAGCACCTGAAGGGTCAAATAATATCAAGAACATACAAAAATATAGGCAGGAGTTGTCAATTAACCCCTCCAAAATACTCCAATACTTGATAGGATCATAGCTAATCTAATCGTAACCTCTAATCCACATTCCATCTGCCCCATTAACCTTTCACCCTCTTGCTTAACAAGGATCCATCTACTCCTGCCTTAAAAATATTCAAGGACTCTGTTTCCACCACCTTTTCAGGAAGTGTTCCAAAATCTCACAGCCCTCAGAGAAATAAATTTGCCTTATAAGTGTTAAATGGGTACCACTCTGCTTTTAAACACTGACCCATATTTTAGATACCCCCCACAAGAGAATCATCTTTTCCATAACTACTCTGTCAAGACTTTGAGACTTTTTTTGTTTCAAGTCACCTCATACTCTTCTAACCTCCGGTGGATACAAACCAAGGTCAGCCAGGTGGGCCTCATAGAATATGAGTTCCCTGATTGGGGCTGTTAATCTGGTCCAATTAGGGAACCCTGGCTGACAGGTATAAATAGGAGAGTCAGAGGTTCTGGTCCCTCAGAGCTGGCTCTGAGAAAGCTGGATCAGCGTCAAGGACTCTCCACGTGTAGATAAAGGATGACTTAGTGATTAGATATCAGCCTCTGGAGTTATTTCACCTTCCCTGTCCCTTTCCTCATAAGGCAACTACCCAAACCCGATATTAGTCTAGTAAACCTTGTGTGAACTGCTTCCAGTGAACCTACATCCTTCTTCAATTTGGATGATTTATGCACAGTACTGCAGATGTAGTCTCACCACCAATGTGTATGACTGAAGAATAATCTCTCTTCTCTTGTATTCAGTTTCCCTCATAAATGATACCACTCTATTAGCTCTCCTAATTACTAACCTTTTGTGATTCAGGCACAAGGACTACCAGATCCCTCTGCATCCCAGAGGTCTGCAATCTCTCTTCACTTAGATAATTCTTTTTCAATTCTCCCACCCAAAATGGACAGTTCCACATTTTTCCACATTATATCCAATTTACCACATCTTTGCCCACTTACTTAACCCATTTGTATATTTTTTGGAACTTCTTGTGTCCTCTTCATAATTAACTTTCCTACTTTGTGACGTCACAAATTTAGCATCTTTACTTTATACCTGACTCACCCAATTCCATCAAGGTCCCAGCACCGATCTCTGTGACAGAGTGCTTGTTATATCTTGCTAACCTGAAAAAGACCCATTTAAACCACACTCTGCTTCCTGTTAGCTCGCTAACTTTCTATCCATGTCAATACAATACATCCTGACCGTGAGTTTCTTTTTTCTGCAATAACTTCTGATGTGGCACTTTATCAAATGCCTTCTGGAAATCTAAGTACAGCCCATCCACTATTTCCATTTCTCCACAGCATGTGTTACTTTCTCAAAGAATGCCAATAGATTGGTTAAACAGGATTTCCTTTTCACACAGCCATGTTGACACTGTCTGATTACCCTGGTCTTATCCAAATGCCCTGTTATAACTTCTTTATTAACAGCTTTAATAACAGCTTCTAGCAATTTTCCTATGTCAGATGTTAAGCTAACTACTCTCTAGTTTTCTACTTCTGTCTTCCTTTTCAAAGAAAGGCAGGCATTACATTGAATAGTTTACAATCGAATGGGAATGTCCAGGAGCCAAGGGAGCTCTGGAAAATTAAAACCAAAGCATCCATTATCTCACTAATCAATTGTTTTAAAACTCTACGATAAAGTCCATCAATACCTGAGCACTTGTCAGCCCACAGCTCCAATAATTTACTAGTTCTCCGGTAATTGTGATTTTCCTGAGTTCCTCCCTCCCTTCCATTTTCCAACTTATTGCTGCTTCTGTGATGTTGCTTATACCGTTTATATTGATGACTAGTACAAAATATTTTTTCACTTGATCTGCTATTTCCTTATTTTCCATTAGTAATTCCCCAGTTTGACTTTCTGTGATCCCATTGTCACTTGGTTAACTGTTTTCTGCTTTAAACATTTATAGAAACTCTTAATATCTGCTTCTATATTTCTGGCTGGTTTTCTCTCATGCTCTAAATTTTTCTCCCAATTTTTTAGCCATTCTTTGTGGGTTTTATGCATTCTGTTCAATCTTCCAACTTGCTAACTGTTTTTTGCACAATTTCAGGGTTTTTTTTGCATTTGATATTATTTTTAAGATTGCCATTTAATCATGGATGGTGAATCCATCCTTGAAATTTTTGTTACTCATTGGAATATATCTATTCTGTGTATTCTGAAATATCCTCTTAAATATCTGCCACTGCATCTCTATTGACCTTTCTTTAACTCAATTTGCCAATTCAATTTAGCCAGCTCTGTTTTCATGCCCTCATAATTGCCCTTAGTTAAATTGTGAAAGGTTGTCTCAGACCCGCTCCTCTCTCCCTCAATCTGAATGTAAAATTCAATCATGTTATGGTCGTTGTTATTTGGGGGCACCTTCACTATAACATAATTATTTAACCCTTATCTCATTGCACGAGATAGGCTCTGCCAATCAGGATGTAAAGTACTGAAAACAACAAATGCTGGAGATCACAATGGGTCAGACAGCATCCATGGAGAGAGAGCAAGCTAACATTTGGAGTCTAGATGACTCATCAGCGCTGAAGTGAAGTGTGGAAGGGGCAGCATTTGTGCTATAGTTGATGGAAGTTGGTGTGCTGGTGGTGGGGTGTAAAATGCCGGGGGAGAAAGGATGTTGATAGTTCAGATTAAGTGATCGGAAAGTGAGAATGGCAGAACAATGGTGTGGCTTAACTGCCAGACTTGAAAGTCTGGAGGTGGGGGGAGGGTAGAGAGGACATGGTGACAGAGAACATAACAAGTAAAGCTAAAAGAAATGGAAGAAATGGGAGTTGGTTCACAATTTGAAGGTGTTTAACTCAATATGAAGCCCAGAAGGCTGTGAAGTGCCTAGTGTGACGATGAGATGTTGTTCCTCCAGGTTGTGCTGTGATTCACTGGAACACTGCAGCATGCCAAGGACAGACACATGAGCATGCGAACAGGACGCTGTGTTAAAATGACCGGCTATGGGAAGGTCGGGGTCATGCTTGCGTACAGACCGGAGGTGTTCTGCAAAGTGATCATTCAGTCTACATTTCAGTTTCTCCAGAGTAGGCCACATTGGCAAAACAATTGTATTCGTTGCACCCACCCTCACTTTCCAATCACTTAATCTGAACTATCAACATCTTTTCTTCCCAGCCCTCTACACCCCACCAACCTGACTTCCCCTCCCTCAATTATATCATAAATGCTGCCCCCTTCACACTTCACTTCAGCTCTGATGAAGAGTCATCTAGACTCGAAACATTAGCTTGCTCTCTCTCCATGGCTGCCATCTGACCCATTGTCATCTCCAGCATTTGTTGTTTTCAGTACAGATTCCAGCATCTGCAGTAATTTCCTCCTAGGGTATGGAGTATTGTTTCTGGGAGGAGTGAACCAGTGTTCGATTTGTTATCAAAGTTGTGAGAATGTTTCGGCAGCAGTGTGAACTTTATCCTAAGTAGAAGCTGATGTCTCACAATAGATCTTCCATTATCTCAGAGGTAATGTAAGTAGCTTATTCAGCAAAAAGTAAAAAGCCTTTTTACTGTTCATACAGCTGATCTTCTGCCAAAAACATTCTGTTTTCTTCCACCCCATGACATCTATAGTTTAGACAAAAACAGCAAGGAGAATTGGTGGCAGTGAACTGCCCAAAGGTTCTCAGGCCCACAGCTATAATATTGGGAACAGAAATGAGGATTTCACGCATTTATAATAAGAAAGTCTAACGACAGGTGTGGAAGGATACACTGTTTTACATCTGCAGAAATGTGATGACCTGTAACTTGCAAAGTATTGATCCACTGTTAAGCCACAGGATGTAATCCGGCTATTCTGAGATTTGGTGTTCTCTCGAGTGCAATGTCTTGCAAATATCAACAGGAAGGTAGGATTAAATTAAAGGATCAAAGGCAATGGTATTATTGCTGGACTATTAATCGAGAAACCCAGGGAATGTTCTGGGGACCTGGGTTCAAATCCTGCTATGATAATCAATTAAAAAAAAACTAAAAATGCGGAGGGGAGAAAGATCATGAATCGATTGCTGGGAAAAACTCAACTGTTTCACTGATGTCCTTTAAGGAAGCTAACTACTTCCTTACCTGGTCTGGCCTACAAGTGACACCAGACCAACAGCAATATGGTTGATTCTTAACTGCCCTCTGGGCAATTAGGGATGGGCAATAAATGATGACCCAGCCAGAAATGCCCTCATCCTACGAATGATTTTTGTTTTAAATGCTGCACATCTGAAATAAATACGAATGATGCTGGAAATGCCTCAGCAGGGAAGAGAGAAACAGAGCTAAAATCAGAAGCTGATGACTTTGCGCCAGAACTGCACAGGCTGAGTATTTCCATCATTCACTGTTTTAAAATCAAAGGGTGCTTTGATAGAAAATCAGGAGTGTGTAAAGACCACTCCACCCTTATGTCATGACTATTGTTCTACATTGT